GAATGCAGGAACAGTGCCAGAAGCATAGTAGGTAACATTTCCAGCTTAAATATTACTTCCCTGGGGGTGGGGAGCCCTCTCTCATCTCTCCAGTTGGAGTTAAGTTCCTACACATTTACAGGTGGGCACACACACTGCAAAGTAATAGATATGCTGTATGTGTTTATGGCATTTATCACAGTTGCAATTATAATGGTTATAAAGAAACCATTAGATACTGTTGTCATTGAGCAACTATTAGCATAATTGTTTAATACTGTCAAACTATAAACTCTATGAAGGCAGCAACCAGGTCTCTTCAATTCATTCTGGTATTCTGAGAGTTGGGTACAGATGGCACATAACCAACATCTAGAACTTTAATTCAACAGAGCTATCCAGTAACTATCTGCTATATGTCAAGCACTTTCTACACATCTAATCTTCACTGTGACTTTGTAAAGTATTAGTTATCCTTATTTTTTTAAAATGAGAACCCAAGGAGGTTCACCAAGGTCACCCAGGCATTACCACCTCTTCTGCTACCCCTTGGCACCCTCCTTCTTATTGGGCTCTAAAGCCCAAACTGAACATTTCTCTCTGTTTTCCCAACTTTCTTCTCCTGGATCTACATTGACTACTTCCCCCTCTACAATCTCAACTATACTTTCATCATTAAACTAGTTCTTAGGATATTTTGTTCATACTAAGGTACAAGTGGTTGAGCCCTGTAATTTCCCATCATAAAGGGTCAGAGATTTAACTGTATAGACCTGGACCCTGCTGGTAGAATTTAGCCATTAGCTAATCAAGATCAGAGACATCATACCAAAAGGGTACTGCCTAGAGTGTTGGCCAGAGGATCTTTTCTCTTCTACACACAGCCCGCCTCCTCTGCAGTAGCCCCAGGGACCTCCTGCCAGTCTTGCCTGGTGAGCAGGTACCCAGATCAGGAGGGCTCCGTCCAGGCAATAGCTTGGCGCCATTTGCCATCCCTTGCACCTTGGTTTCTCTCTCTCCAGATGAGGAAGTTCGATGAAATTCGCATTCTGTCTAGCTCCTCATAATGTGCAGACAGGTGGAGCTGTCAGGTCCTTAGTAGTGATCACTACTTCTTGTGTTCTTATAAGAATTAGTGATTACTACTAAGGACCTGACAGCTCCACTTGTCTGCACCCATTATGCATGTATGATGTCATTTGATTGAGATTTCTCCCCCCCCACACACATTGTCCCTGTTTTACAAATGGAGAAACTGAAGAGGTAAATTCCATCACTCAAAGTCACTGTTCCAATAGGTGTGAGGGTATGTCATCCCAGCTACTTAGAAACAGGAAGATCTCATATTTGAGGCCCTCCTAGACAAAGTTAGGAAGAGCTTATTTCAAACTCAATAGGGCTAGAGGCATAGCTCAAGAGGTAGAGCACTTGCCTAACATGTAGGAGGCCCTGGGTTCAATCTCCAGTGCACTGTGGCATACAATATGATCCCCACACATGAAAGAGAGTTTGGGAAGGGCAGGTCTTGCTTAGCATCACTCATGTAGTTACCAGCAGGTGCCAGCAGGGGCTGCATCAAGGTCCATGCCCAGAGCAGGAAGCTGGCTATGAGCTGGTAGCTCCATGGACCTCCCTTGGGCCTCCCCATCATGCCATCTTCATGAGGCCAGGCATCTTGGGTGGGTGGGGACTGGCTTTCCCCAGAGTGTGAAGCCCAAGTATACCAGAACTAAGCTGTAGGGCATTTCTGACCTAGCTTCAGAAATATGTGTATCACTTTCTCTGCATTCTACTGGCTGTATAAGTATGTTACTGAGTCTGACCTGGATTTAAGGAGGAGGGGATATGGATCCCCAAAGAATGTATCTACCTGCTTCAGAGCAGTGGCCCAGCTGGTAAGTGGCAAAGCTGGAATTTGACAAGGCTGGCTCAGGTCTGCACACTGAATCTCCATTTACAACCTATTTTCAAGGTTAAGGCCTAGTTTCTTGTGTATTTCTTTGAGGTCCCTGATACTTCTTCCCTGACTGTAGGCCCTGTGTCTCTGGCCTCCTGGTGCCCTTGACCTTCCTCTCATGGGCTGCTTTCACTCTGCCTTCTTCTTAGGAGGCCAGCAGAGCCATGGAAAGGGCACAGGCTTTGGAAATGACCATCTCAGATTCCAAACCCACTCCAGTTCTTCAGCTGTAAAATGGGGGTGGGGGAAGGTGCTAAGGACATTCCCTTTTGTGAGCTGGCCTGAGAGTTTATGTAATCAACAAGTAGTTGTGGGTGCCAACTTTTTGCCAGGTATTATTCTAAGCTCTGAGGAAGGGGAGGGAGGGAGGGAGGGAGAGACAAAGAGAGAATAAGCAAATAAACAAGAAAAGTGTACTCATGTATGTATGTGTATACACATATGTGTCAGATAGTGATAAGGGCTATATAGAAAAATACAGTAGGGTGTGGAGGGTTTGGTATTTCAGGGAGGGTATTTGCTCCTTTATACAAGGTTATGAGGGGACACTTTACTGGGAAAGGAATGTTTGAGCAGAAATCCTTGAATGTGACCCCCTAACTTTCCAGAGGGAAGAGTGTTTCAGGAAGAGGAAAAAGCAAGTTTTCTAGATCTGGAGCCACGAAAGGAATAGGAATGTGTTAGGGATGAGAAAGGATAGGTAGCAGAACCAACGAAGTTCGGATCTTAGAGTACTTGGACTTTGACCCTGAATCAGGTGGGAGTCCTGGGGAATTAGGGGCAAAAAAATGTTATCAGTTTCTGGATACATTTTGGGAATAATGTGCATAGTAATTGTTGATGGATTGAATGTACTGTGTGAGAGAAAGGAGGGGGGAGTAGGGAAGAAGGGAGAGGGCGAGGACTCCAAGATCTCTGAATAAGTGGGAAAAAATGGAGCTCTTTTTCCTTTTCTTTTTATCTTGGTGGGGAAAGCTGTGCAGGGAGCACTCTTACCTGTTCCCCCTGCTGCTCTAGATCTAGATCTGGCTCATGGGAGGGCAGAAGGGCTCAGGAGCACCTCCTTGGGCCAGGCAGTGAGCTAGGTGTTTTACCAAGTGTGGTAGCAATCTTGTAGGAATGATCAGAGATCCCTAGGCTCATATGTCTCCTTTTTGCTTGAGTGTGGATGGACACACTAACTAGGATCACTATTGCTATGTTACATGATAACCTGAAGGGTAAAGAAGATATACAAATAGGCCTTACCTAATTACAGGGCCCTTTACAACAAAGTGTTTTTGGGGCTAAGTAAGCAGAGTGCATCAAAGGATGTGAAGAGATTGACATCCTGATCTTGGCCTTGAAGATGGACCAGCCACATGCAAGGGCAGAGAACTACTAGGATAGGAGCCAACAGCCAGCAAGGAAACAAGGACTGTGTTCTACAACCACAAGGAACTGAATCCTGCCAACAACCTGAATGACCTTGGAAGCAGACTTGTCTCCAGAGCCTGTGGAGATTACAGCTCTGCCTAGCCAACAGCTTGTGAGACCTTTAGAAGAGAATGCAGCCGAAGCTGCCTAGACATGGAACCTACAGAACTGTTCACTACTAAATGACTTGTTGTTAAGCCACTCCCTGGTTATCTGGTTATGAAGCAACAGAAAACCAACACCCATCCAGTCCCCAAGGCCCTGGTGGGGAAATAAATCCATAGTAGGGACTGGCACCCTAAAATCATTTTATCTTATTGCTTCGTAAAGATGGCTGGGAACAACTGGAAAGGGAAGAAGCTACTGTGTTCTGATGGTTGTCTCTGTCTACCCTGGGCTCTGGGTGTCTGAGAATGGGTGAAGACTGTGGTTGCTGGGGGTGTATATCTGGCAGAGTGTGTGTGAGTGCCTGTCATAGTGTGTCCCAGAATCTGAGGGTGTCTCTCATCAGAATGTCACTGTGGCTGGGAGTGACTGAGTCTCTGGCTGTGTGTTGGTGTGTGTCTGAGGGTGACTGTCTCAGTGTTTGACATCAGGTGGTTGAGGGGAGAGGGGCGCCGAGTGAGCTCTAGTCTGGAGCTGTGTGTGCATCTAAGTGTGTGCATCTGTGTGTAAGAAATCTACGGTATCAGCCAGCCAGTGTGGGTGCATGAGAGTGCGTGTGTCTGAACTTCTACGGGCTTCTGGGATCTAGCTTGTGGGGGAGGGCTGTGTGCCAAGAGCGCCCTGCCCCTATCTCCCAGGGCTTCTGCCCGTCCATTTGTGGCCGTCTAAGGGTGTCTGTTGGTGTATCTGCCCGTGAAGGGGGGGGGGAAGGGGGGACAGTCTTATAGACTGTGCATCCGTGGATTTGTCCACCCAGGTGGCTAAGAGGTGTGTGTGTGTGTGTGTGTGTGTGTGTGTGTCCAGGCATGTTTGCACGGTGAACGTTGTCTTGGTGGTACGCACGTGAAACGGAAGCCCCGGGCCGCGTCTCTGAGCGTGTCCATGTGTCTGGGTGAGGCCTGTCTGGGTCGGTGACTGGACGCCGGCATTTGGGGCGAATCTCAGAACGGAGAGTGGGGGTTGGGGCGCCGAGGGTGGGGTGGGGGGGAGGGGGGAGGATCGGCCGCAGGACCGGCGAGCGAACGACCTCGGACCGACACCGACACCCGCCGCCAGCCTCTCACTCCCCGCGCGCGGGTTCACCTGCTGGGACTGGGGGCGGTTGGGGGGGGCGC